ATTTAAATTATATATGTGAGTGAATTGGGGCATGGGATAACTCGAATGCCTAGTTACCATGACTGTTCTGATAATGTAAGCATAGAATGGAACAAAGTAACCAAGCATTTAAATTATATATGTGACTGAATTGGGTGGAATAACTCACATGCCTAGTTACCACTGTTCTGATAATGTGAGCATAGAATGAAACAAAGGTAACCAAGCATTTAAATTATATATGTGAGTGAATTGGGGCATGGGATAACTCGAATGCCTAGTTACCATGACTGTTCTGATAATGTAAGCATAGAATGGAACAAAGTAACCAAGCATTTAAATTATATATGTGACTGAATTGGGTGGAATAACTCACATGCCTAGTTACCACTGTTCTGATAATGTGAGCATAGAATGAAACAAAGGTAACCAAGCATTTAAATTATATATGTGAGTGAATTGGGGCATGGGATAACTCGAATGCCTAGTTACCATGACTGTTCTGATAATGTAAGCATAGAATGGAACAAAGTAACCAAGCATTTAAATTATATATGTGACTGAATTGGGTGGAATAACTCACATGCCTAGTTACCACTGTTCTGATAATGTGAGCATAGAATGAAACAAAGGTAACCAAGCATTTAAATTATATATGTGAGTGAATTGGGGCATGGGATAACTCGAATGCCTAGTTACCATGACTGTTCTGATAATGTAAGCATAGAATGGAACAAAGTAACCAAGCATTTAAATTATATATGTGACTGAATTGGGTGGAATAACTCACATGCCTAGTTACCACTGTTCTGATAATGTGAGCATAGAATGAAACAAAGGTAACCAAGCATTTAAATTATATATGTGAGTGAATTGGGTGGGATAACTCACATGTCTAGTTACCGCTGTTCTGATAATGTAAGCGTGGAATCATATTATGCGTGATTTAATGGTCCGAAATGTTTTTGAATTATTAAATCATGAGTTTTTTACTTTTTTAGAATGTAATTGTTACAATCACTCCGATGTTTGTGTCTACAATGCAACCATTGCCAATAACGTTTGTTCCTATGGCAACAACGCAACGAATGACGAATGCAGTATGGATATTTTTGGCAGATACAGCGGTGGCGGGGTTTGTCAAGGTTGCCAGGCAAGATAATCAACAAACTTGTAGTTATTCCATTTTAGTCATTTTGGTGCAGTAATTTCACTAGTAAGAATAATGACTGCGCGTTTACAATCTTAACCCAACCTTAGGTGAAAGTGCGACTAAGCACAAATATATTTTTGGTATATATAATATTTGGGTGATTCGAAGAGGAAATGTAATATATCTTTATAGTAAAAAATCTCATCTTGATCAACTTTTTCACTGTCAAATTTTCTGGATGTCATTAGATGAATTTTAGCAGCAAAAAGCAATGGAACACTAATTCGCAATTCACCTAATGACATCATATCCGGAAACTTTGTCAATGAAAAAGTTGATCGAGATGGGATTTTTTTATTATAAAGATACATTACATTTCTTCTTAGAATGAACCAAATATTGCACATACAAAAAAATCATATTTGTGGGTTACTACAGTAACTACACTTTAAGGGTCATCATCTACCTATACTGTCTAGGCTCAAGATTGGTTGATTATAACAATGAATAACAATAGAACTATAGAAATTGTCTTTCTAAAGAACGAGTCACAAACAAGGATTCTTTTGTTTCTGAAAGCCAGTCACAAAAAATGATCATTTTGGTTTTTCATTGGTTCTCCCGTCTCACAGGGAAAGTTGTCAGGGTGAGACCCAAGCATTAAAAGCAGTTAAATAAACGATATCATTATCTCTACAACAGGACAACACAGAAGGAATAAATTGCCAGAGATGTATTACGAAGTATTATCGTGAAGGAGGCAAGAGTCATTGGGACAATGATGCCTGTCAACGTAAGACTCATAATTCAATAGTAATAATATATAGCTTTTCGCACTGCGATGCAGAGGGCCCTTGCATGACACTTTGATCGAAATTAATCGACACTTTGATCGAATTTGATCGAATCATCATTCATTGATCGAAATGTTTCATTCTCTTCTCATTGTCTTGAAATTCCCGCTGTCTTCTAACCCAGTCACATATTTCATTGACATTGTTATATTTGGACCTCTTCAGCGCGAAAAAAAAAACACAGAATCGTTACATTTTTTAAAATTTTTAGGGTGCGATTGTTTCGTGAATGGTACGATGAATACAACAAGAAATGGCGTTGAATATTTAGATTGCGTAAGAGATGACGAAGAGGCAGCCGAGCTTGGGGATCTGGTAAGGAAAATTGAAAAATCTTCTCCATGAGCTAAAAACTGAGCCCTCGCCCCCATCTCTCGTTAACTCTGGTTTACACTATCAAAGTTTCTGTGATCACAGTAGGAATTTTGCATTGGTAAATTCTAAGTTTTGAGGGGTTTACAAGAAATGTTTGAGGGATCTTTAACTCTGGATCAGTTTTCTCAAACATTTCTTACAAATCCTTCAAAACTTAGAATAGAGCTTTCCCCTTATAACTAAAATTTTGATGTAGACAAGTCTAGACAAAACGTTCACCACAGCTTGAAAGAGCATCACAAAATTAGTAATTTTCCGAAGTTTCGTTGCGAAATGTTGTAAAATGCGGATAATATAGCCCTGCGAAATTTGCAATTTTCAGTCATTTTGTATTGCAAACGGGAAATTGATGCCCCAACACCCGATTGGGATGTCAATTTCCCATTTGTAATACAAAATGACTGAAAAACGGCAAACTTCGCAAGGCTATATTATCCGCATTTTACAACATTTCGCAACGAAACTTTGGAATATTACTAATTTTGTGATGCTCTTTCAAGCTGTGATGAAATTTTTGTCTGGATCAAAATTTTAGTTATAAGGGGAAAGGTCCATTTACCTTTGCACAATTTCTATACTGTGATCACAGAAACTTTGAAAGTATAAGCCAGCCTTAACACCTGAGCGATGAGAAAACTTGATAGTTTATCTGTTTTAATGAATCCGTATTCCTAGGTTGCAGGTCAATGTCTTTGTAAAAATAAGACCACTGGAAGACAATGTGATCGCTGTGTTGATGGGTATTATAACCTGACTGCAGATAATCCTCAAGGATGTTTAGGTAAATAACAAATTAAGAACGGACACGGATGACGGTTGCACACTGGTTAGTGTGGAACACCAGCACTTGCGCAAGTGTCGTTGTCACAATGCTTGCTTTTCAACCTGGCGTCTAGCATCCCCCCCCCCTAGAGAGGTCCAGCACCACCCTAAAAAAGTCTGCTTGACCATACATTTTCTGCTTTTCGAATAGCGATTAGCGGAACTTCTACTGTTAGCGCGTGTCGATTTCTTGAAACTTTTTAATTGATTTGTGAGCTCACGAGAAAATACTCAGAATGCTTTGGTTAGTTATCATGGTTAAATATGTAAACATGCCGAGGTTGTTATACAGCCATATTTTCAAATATACTGTACTTTAACAAGCAAGTTTACTGTACTGTGCTGCAGCAACTGTCCAGTCACGCGTACGTGATAAAAGCCGATATAAACGTTATAAACAAAAGATAATGTAAAACGTAACAGAACGGCGAACATGCAGATTCGGCCATCTCAAATAATGGTAATGTTGGGACCGTAGCGTTGCAGACTGCAGATGAGAGTGGGCAGTAAGCAGTGGCGGAAACTTTGCGAAATTTTGGGGGGGCGAGTGCCGAAGGCACGAGTTTTTTAGGGGGGTCTGGGGGCATGCTTCTCCAGAAAATTTTTAAAATTTGGACCCCTGAAATGGCATTTGCAGCATTCTGAGAGCGCATTTTGTAAGAAATTCCAGGTTTTCAAAACATTAAGTTAATGGTGAATTTTGGTTTAAATCATGTGGTAAACATAAAAAACCGGTAATCTGAACTTGCAGTACGTAATAAATATCTAAACCAGAGAAGTGAAAGAACACCTGAAAATTACTACCTATAGAATAGGTACTGTATAGGTTTGTAAATGACGAAGGACGAATCGAAGAACGATATTATGATCTTGTTAGACTTAAAGAGACTGATGCCGAAACCATTGTGAATGAAGGAGTTTTGCCAACAAGTAAAAAACTGAGCTTGTCGGCCAGTCTCCTTGCACTTGGAGCAGATGGCGCATCTCGGCATCTGTTATGAGCGGATGTTACGAAGGCGTTGCTGCTAAACTGAAGAGATATTATCCTTGGTTGATTTATGTTCACTGTGCTGCGCACCGTCTGAATTTGATTGTAGCGGCTTATTTTCGTACAGTCAATGAAGCATGTAGTGTAATAAATGTCTACAAGGCTTTGCACATCATTTTCAACGTCGCTGGCAACAGAGAAATATTCGAAGCTGTTCAAAAGGAGCTTTATCCGAAACAGCCCATAATGGTGGCTTCCTCCCTTACAGAAGTTCGACGGGCTTGTAAGTTTGAAGGTGTTAATACAACGGTTAAAAGACTTAAAGCGATTCTCGTAAGCCTTCAAAAGATCGGCGCTTCAAATTCGAACCAAGCCGATTCAGCAGCGGGACTCTACCACACGATTCTCTCCGGATTCGCCCCCCCTAGTTTCCGCCACTGGCAGTAAGGCTCCCTCATGCAACACCCCATGGAAAACCTGCACCCTTCCTTGCAGATGAGGCTAGACCGCCCCCTGCAGCAGGGGTGGGTGGTTCCAGCGAGGTTTTTTTAGGGGGGGGGGGTGTGTGCTGGGTGAGCAGCCAAGTGTTTTTTTTTATTTATAATTCTTTAGGGGGTGGTGGGATAGCATTCAAATGAATTGACTTCCTAACAACTCGAGCACCGAAGGCGCGAGCTTCCTAGGGGATCCAGGGGTTGAAAATTAGAACCCTAGAAATGCCACTTCCTGTGATATGAGCATTGAATTACGAGCTTCAGTTTGACTTGAAAAAAGAGAAAACCTTGAAGATTATGCGATATTTCTGAATTTGATTTTTTGCACCCCTGCAGCTCTGTTGAGTGTTGACCAAGGCCAACAGGGGTGCGCTTCCCTATGCACCCCCCTATAAATCCACCCCTGCCCTGCAGTCGATATCCATGCCAATGTAATGTTTGCTTTTCCTACTTTTATCTTGCAGCATGTCTGTGTACCACACCGGGAACAGTGAACGCGTCAATAAACTGTAATGACAATGGTGTGTGTTCTTGTAAGCCACGTGTGATAGGTGATAAGTGTAGCCATTGTAAAAAAGGAACATTCAACTTGGCAAACGACAATCAGTATGGTTGTACTGTATGTATGTGCAGTGGGATAACACGAAACTGTACGAGCAGCTCTTTGTATCGTAGCAAGGTAAGAGACCTTAAATTCATGAGTAAAACAAAAACATCAGTAAGTTTACCGCCTACACACGTAACAACGAACAAGTTGTAACAAAACTACAGCAGTCAAGTCAGTCAGCCAGTCGTTCCAAGAACTTGTCAACAGGATGCGTTCGCACTGGTTGTTCGCAGCTTGTTGACAACTTGCTACAAGGTTGTTGAGCTCAACAGACTTGTTACAAGTTGTTCCAACAACTTGTTATCGTCCTGCAATTCAACAATTTGTGAACAAAGTTTTGAGTGACACATCTTGATGACAAGTTGTGAGATTTTTACATGGGCACTCGTGAGCCTATAAAGGATATGACAAACTTTCAATAATTTTCGGGTCCCACTGTTCAATGTTTCATGTTCAACATACGCAAAAATCTCACATCTTGCACCAAGTTTACTAACAAGTCGTCAACAGTTGTTTTCGCGCTGCTTGTCTCAAGTTGTCAACAAGTTTGGAACAAGCTGTTAACAACTTGTAACAACCTTGTTGATATTATCAGGCTTGTTGCAAGGTTGTTCCAACAAGTCCGATATAGTCATGATATAACAATATTGTTTCAACCTTGTGTCGTCAACCTTGTAACATTCTTGTTATATCATGACTCCATCATACAGTACTTGTTAGAACAACCTTGTAACAAGTCTGATAATGCCACCAAGCTTGTTACAAGTTGTTAACAGCTTGTTCCAAACTTGTTACAACAACTGGGAACAAGCAGTGCGAACACAACTTGTCGTCAGCTTGTGAACAGACTTGTAACAACTCGTTTGCAGACATGTAACAACTTGTGCGTTTTTACGTGTGTATATCATTTGCTCAATGATCAAGGGACCTGGCTTATGCCCATGTCACACTACACAGCGATAACGATACGATGACTTGTGTACGCGCGCTGATTGGTCAACAATTTATCGTTATCGTCCGACCGAAAAAAAAATCGCTCAGAATCGTTGTCGTCCAAGGATAATTTTATCATTTTCGTTGTTGTGTGGACACTAACACAAGTTTTTCGCCAGTTATCGCGTGTTTACAATTTATCGTTATCTTTGTGCATAGTGTGACCGGACCTTTAGAGTGATCTATTTAATATATGTGCTTTTTGTTCTCCGTTTAGACAAAGTACAATCTGCACGGTTGGAATTTGACACGTGGTCTTGACAGGAATGAAGTAATAGGGGTCATGAAAATCCAGGTATGTTAGTTCATTTTGTAAGTTGTTGCTGACGTTTCCGGTGGCACAAGAGTCTTTACCCTCGATCGACGTTCAGTTTATTCCTTATGGCGTTGTTTGATAATATTTTTACTCAGTCGGTTGCGGTAAAATAAAAATAAAAATATATAATAGTTTTGTTTGTGGAAACGCCACGTTCGATCCGTAAGCCGGGTCTTCATCAGTGCTAATAATATGTCGTATTACATATTATTAGCACTGATGTCGATGAAGATCCGGGCTTACGGATCGAAAGCTTTGCAGTAATAAATTGACGTGGTGTTTCCACAAACAAAATTATTATATATTTTATCTCCATGCAATCATGATTTCAGTCCACGGAGAATCTTGGTAATACTAATTTACATCCAGTAGCATACGCCAAGTGTCTGATCCTACGGTAAATACAGCTATTTCAATTAAGGTTGTCCCGCCGCGAGCAAAGCGGAAAAGTAGAATACGAGCGCGAAAGGCTGCTGTGAATCACTAATAAATGAATGAATTTCTTAGCGATTCCCAGCAGCCTTTCGTGCTTGTATTCGACTTTTCCGCTTTGATCGGGGGAGAACTTGAATTGAAATAGTTGTATACAGATATAAAAAAAGGACATTACTAGGGGGCACTATCAGGGGGGGGGGAGCATGCTCCCCAAGAAAACTTTGAAATTCAGGTGTCTCGGATTCGCCAAAAATGCAATGGCCATACAACATTTGATACATCATTCTATAGACTATACATTTCGACAGTATCGTATTGTTAAGATAGATGCACTTATGATGGATGCTTCCAGCTATCGAATAAATTTTGATCCAGGCGAGAAGAACGAAATCCAACACTAAAGCTAGAAAGAGCGTCTTCGAACGTGTAAAACTACAAATTCAACCTATAGATATTTATCCCGTTGAATATGTTCGGCATAAGCATTCAACTTAGACGTTGATGGCGTTGAATATGTTCGTCATACGCATTCAACTTAGATGTTTATGCCGTTGAAGACGTTCAGCATGAACATTCAACTTGGATGGTTATGCCGTTGACTGTCTTCGGCAAGACCATTCGGCTTGAATGGTTATATTCGGCATAAACATTCAACTTAGATGTTTATACGACGTCATAAACACGGTCAACTTTGGTGTTTATGACGTCGATATAGGACGTCATAAACACGGTCAACTTTGGTGTTTATGACGTCGATATTCGACGTCATAAACACGATCAACTTTGGTGTTTATGACGTCGATAGACGACGTCATAAACACGGTCAACT